TGTAGTTGGAAGTTCAGAGAGTCAGGCCTTAATGGTACTTGTGGATTGTTTATCCAAGATGTTTATTGGCTGTTCTCAATTAGTGATGTTCTGGAGCAGGGCTGTGGCCACTGGGAGGAGCAATGGGACTGCTCAAGGGAAAGGTTTGGGCACCATGAGCTTCCTGGGTCTTAACGTGGTTATATTTAATCACACTGCATTTCTGAAATCACCTGAAAATACAAACTTTGCTTTAGCAGTAAACTACAAGCACACTCTGATATGCAAACAAACCCTTGAAGCAGTTCCTATTCTTACTTGCCTCTCAGTATATTCAGTGACTCTAAAACCAGAGAATTTACTCAAACACCCAGGTGTGTGCTGGGGTGTGTTGCTTTAAAACCCATCTTTGATCAGTGTAGCCACTGCTTCTTCCATTTAAAGGAAATAAATATCAAGCATTGGACAATTACATCTGTTATCAAGATGAAATCACATTCTAAAGGCAGGTTGTGGTTGGCAGTTTTTTATTGGAATAAAAAACAGTTCTAAAAAAACAGTTTCAGATCTTGGGTTCCTCTTAATTCGGAAGTGTTGAGCAATGAGATTTCTCTCTTTGGAGTAACAAAACAGAGCCTATCATGAATGAATAATCCAACGAATTTTGGAAGGACTCTAGAAAATCTCTGTGGAAATGCATGGTGCATCAATTTATAGTTTTTCTTGGCAGAAGAATTAATGCTTCAATGATTTCAAATGATTTCAAAATATTTGGAGATGTGCTAAAATAATCAGAAAGTGTATCTAGCAGTGGTGGTTTAAAAACAGGCTTTCAATATATTTGACTAGAAAGATATGGAAAATAGCCAGCCGTCTTTTTAGTGTTTTAATTTAAATAAATTTTAAAAGAAATTTGAAAATATTTTCTTCTTCTGCCTGTAATTCTTGTCAAATCATCTGTATATAAGGATAAGTGAAAAACTTTCATTTTTTTATTGTGGGAAGAAGAATTAACAATATCAAGGGAGAAAAAACTGCATTGCAAGAATTTTGTAACTGAAGCACAGATTGCCGTCCTGTAAACATACAGAAAAGCAAGCTTTTATTTGATAATACATATTGGTAATTGCAGCCAATTTCCTTGTAATCAGTCACATTGGGGAGTTTATGGGAATAATTTATAAAGTGTCCATGTGAGCACTGGGTATGACAGTGGGAAGGAACTGCAGATGGACGCTTTGCTTAAGTGCTCTGGGAACGGTGCCAAGGATCTCCTGCCTACTGAGAGAGTGGAAAGTCTATTTGATCATCACTTTTAAGGAGCCATCATTTGAGGAATAAAATCCTTACTGTTTAATTTAGTCCCTTTTGCTGTAACTGTCTTCCCCATTAGTGTTGGATTAAGGTAGTTTTTTAAAATGCCTTCCCTGCAGCTGGGGGTGAAGCAGTGCTGGAAGGTGGAGGAGCAGTGTGTTGCAGGGAAATTGGAGTGAGGCTGACAAATACAGCATTTCTGAGTTCCCTGCATCTCATCTGGAAATTAAATAGCCCTTGGAAATTACTTGGCATTTAAATGAACTGATAAACAATAATTAATAATGTGTTGGAAGCTGTTAGAAGAATGTATTTTGAAAACAAAATAGCAGTTTTGAGTCACACATGGAGAGTGAAATGGTCTTTCAGCTTCTATATTGCAAAGCATTTTTTTCTTTTAGTGTAGTCAGTACAGAGTTAATCCTGATCACTGCAGGGTCCACATGGACAGTTCATTTACTGGTGAGTTCTTCCACAGAATTCCCAAATAGCAGGGGTACACAGCAGTGGGGAGGAATTTGGGAACTCAGTAGAAAGCAATCAAGAGAAAGCAAGAACATTTCATCAAACCCAGCTGCTGCTGTTCTCAGGGCTGTTTGGAAAACCTGTTGAATGGGAGGAATCCAATAAATCCAACCCTTTGGGGCTGAGGGCAGCCCATCCATGGTGTTTGTGCAGGAAGAACATCCCAGAGCAGAGCTGAGCTCCATTCAGCCCAATCACCACTAAAATTCAGTGGCATTTTTTTAACTCAGCCTTTGAAAACGCTGCTTATTGACTTGGGAAATGCTGTTTTTCTTTCAGATTGAGCCTCAAGAAATAGGAGAAAACAGCTTTTGGGTAAAAGCTGAAGAAGATAAATTTGAAGACCCCGAGCTGTTTGCAAAATTGGCACTTACCTTTGGAACCCAAATGAAAGGTACATTCTTACTTTTCTCTTTATTGTGCTTTTATTAAGTTTAAAACTGCAATGGCAGTTTCTTTTATGCTTTGTGCAATATTATGGAATTCATAGGATGGTTTTATAGCTGGAAGATGATTTAAAACATATATTAAGCATTACAGTCTATTACAAGAATTGCTCCTCCTTCACTTTACAGCGTGAGGGGAGGAATCTTTTTGCAATAATACCTTTTAAAAGTGCACTGTATGTTGCAGACAGATGTGAGTTTTCTTGTAGTGAAATTATAATTAAATTTAAATTCTGATTCTAAAATCATGTTTATTTGCATTGTTGTTCCTAGCCAAGAATTTTCAGGATTAAGAACTGCAGTTTTTTACTAATACAGTGTTTGAGAGGTTAACTCAGGAGGGGCTCTCACAGGATTGTACCTTTCTCCAACTGTTTGTTTCCTCAAGTTAATTCTGAATGTGTTTTTTGCTGTTTGAAGCCTCTTCCAAGAGTTGGTCCTGGCTGTGTTTGTCATAAGATAGTTGCACTTTCCACTTGTAGCTCATACTCCTTTCAGTACTGAATTTAAACCATTCAAATTCTCCTTTTACAACACACCTTAGAACCACTTTGTGGCCTAAATGTTCAGATATTGCATGCAGTAAAACAAAAGCATCCTTTGCAGTAATTTAAGATTCTTTTCCATGCCAAAGTTGGATTGATTCTCGGTTCCTAGCACTGCAGGGAGGGTAAAATGATGTGGAGTTGGTCACTTGTAGTGTGACAGGAGGACATTTAAGGGAAGGAATGCCCAGCAGTGGTGACACAATGGCATGAGCCCCTTCTTAATGCAAAGGACAGGCTTCTGCCTTGAGCTGAGTCCTTTCATCACAAATCTGAAGAAATGTTTCTGAATTCCTGAAAAGCTTCTTCATTAGAAATGCTGAAAAAACCCTCTTGAAATTTTGACACAGCTGACAGTTTGCTCTGAGAAGAAATTCTTGTTGACATGGTTGCAGAGTTCTGAAAGTGGGAGAACAGAAACTCCTCAAATGGCTTTGTGTGGTGATAGCCTTGCAGATATTTTTCCTGTTCTTATTTATGTAGTTCTCATTAAATGATTGTAGAAAATAAGATGCCAGAGCAAAGGATGCACATTAAAAATGCTACTGCATGGTACTCAGGATATGAAAATCTTACTTGGCAACTCCTACAGAAAGACAGGGTTGTCTGGCTTTGAGTTCATGGTGTTTTTTAACTTGAAAACCTACTAGAAGTCAAGAAGACTCTGAGTATTTAGTTGAAGCACAAATAATTTCATTCCAGAAAGAGCTTTTATCTGGAAACATGGAATGGTGTTCACTGTTCTTCCTCCCCTTTTGCCTTCAGAGTCACAAACAGCTCAGTGATGCTCAAGTACCTATTTGAAGCATCATCTGGGATCAAATTTATCTTCTGCTTTTGTCCCATTTCTTGAAGTTGTCTCCCTGTACTTTATGGGAGAATGATAAAAAGGCAAACAGAAATTAGTGTGATATTCTCTCAAGAGCACAGTCAGCATGAAAAACAAACAAATGGATGAGTGGAAGCAGACTGACAATTGCCAAAAGCAGTTGTGGTGGCTGAGTGTTTACTCTCGTGTTCTGGGGCATTTTGGAATGCCACTGGGAATAGGAGCTGAAGTAAAAGAAATGGCACATTTATTAAAAATTTGTAATTCCATGTAAGCTGCAGCACTGAAATTTGATTAAACCTCTGAATTCTGTTCATGATTCTTTGGCACAATGAGAAAAAAAAAGTGGTGAATTTTTCTCATTTAAACTAGTTTTGTTTTAGGATGTTCAAAAAATGTCTTAATGTTGGTTATCACTAAACTTTGAGCTGCCTTGCTGCTTGAGTGCTGTCTGTTTTAAAGGGATGCAGCCAGGGCTGAAGGGAAGTGGTGCTTTTGGAGGGAAATATTGCAATGAAGTTGAACAATACTTTTTGCTCAGTATATTAATGCAGGGGTTTTATATCTCAGGAAGCCTGGGCTACTGCTTTTTGGTAGAGTTAGGGGTGTGTGTGCGCCCTAATTCTGTAAAATTTCTATCTTAAAAGCCCCATCAACTGGAATTAAGAGTTTAAAATGTTGGTGTTCTTGTCAAGAACCTACTTAAATCTTTGGGATAATTTCCCAAGAATGCTGCATGGAGCATTCTTCTACCAAACTTTGCTTTTGTCCCAGAACTGATATGAATTTTTTTCTCTGGCCATCACTGGAAGGGAGAAGAGCAGCAGCACTGCCATGTCCTCAGTGCTCTGTGGGATATTATATCAAAAAACTCCCATTTAATGTCTGGAATGTTCAATACATTGAGAATTGTTGAATTGTCTCCTCACAGGTGCAGGTAAAGCCTGCCACACCCCATGTTTGAGCTCTCAGATAATTTGCAGGGATGTGACAATGCTCAGGGTGATTCTGCTATCAAAATCATTTCTCACAGTTTGATTGATTGGCTAATTGCAAAACACTGCAAAGGAAGTTAATGCCTTCTCCCTAAAGGATCGTGGTAATTTCTGGCTCTTGTAATTTAGGTTGTGTATTTTGCCAGTCAAGAATGATAGTGGTGCTCTGAAGAAATTAATTATGTGTACAGTAGATCTGTAAAGGTAGTAATTAGTACATAATAGTCTGTAACTACTGGGATTGTTCCAATACAGAATTCATTATCCATCCAACTTGCCTCAAGGGAAAACTTCTCGATCAGGGTTCTGTTGCTTTACAATTAGACTTTTAAAATATATTTCAATCATTTTCATATGTTTTCAAAACTGAAGTAAGGTCTCAATAGCTGAGTTGTATTTTTCACATTATGGGAATATGAGTGAGAAGGGACAAGAGAAAGTACAAACTTCATTGTAAGCTTTAATTGAGAAAAACATGAATAAAATGTTCAGGTTTTGATTTTTATATATTATATATATATATATATATATTTTATATTTATTTATATAATGTATATAATGGGTCAGCACAGCTTTGGACTTGAAGGAAAATTGTTTGCTTTCATTTGCATTTGATACTTGTAAATACAAGGAGCAGCAATTAGAACTTTTAAGAAATGACTTTGCATTTGCTATGCTGAGAAGCCTAGATCTGATTGATCAGAGAACTTCAACATTTGCAAGATTTGAAAGGGTTCAGCTTTGGCCAAATTCCCTTGAACTCAGCTCCATTTGTAGGTGTGAGCCAGCCAGACTCAGTGTGATTCAGAAATGTGGTGTTAAGCACGGATAGGTCACCCTGGTTCAGTTCCCTGTGCTGCTTTGCCAGCACAGAAATGAGGAAAAAAAATTTGCTTCTGGATTGCAAACTGCAGGTGGCTCCCTTGGCCTGCTGATGGTGCAGCTTCTGGGTTTGTTTCCCTTCCCTCTCCCCCTCTCCTGTGCAGAATTGAGGCAATCCCAAGCAGAGGAAGATGCAGTTTTTCAGTCAGGATCACCCAGCTCGTGGGGCACAGGGATCTCATTACTTGGATTGCACACTCAGATCATCACTCCTCGTATCTGTTCCACACAGAAGTGCAGTAGATTGGTTTGTTTTCATCTTTGACTGTATTTGAAATTGTTGTTTTTCAACAACAGAATAAATTCAAGTGCTATAAAGGAGAAGTAGTGAGTTATTAGTTTGCTGTTTTTCTCTTTCCTTTTCTTCTTTACTGGATTTATCCAATAGGCAAATTGTCAAACTGAGGGGTGAATAAAGCTTTGCATGGTTTAAATAAATTGCTACCTGAAATTATTGCCACCTAGCATGGATTTATATCTGTATTTTGATGTATTTTATGTACATTTTTTGAATTCTAAAAAAGTTAATATTTTTTCAGAGCATTGTTGCTCAATCAGAGAGTTCACATTGAGAAATTTGGACACTGTCTTAGTCAGCATTGCATAAAGTACTGCAATAATTGCACCCTCAGAAAATCAAATACAAAGAGTCTGTATGCAAATTAAATTATATTCAGATTAAGAGACAGGTGGGAAATAGTTGGAGGTCTGGGCTATTTGAAAGTTGCTATCATTATTCATGGATTGCTTGGAGGTGCAGCATAATGAATTCCACCCAGTTCCTATAGAATGGAGTTCATTTTCCGAATCAGCATTCTATCTGTTCTGAATCCAGGTCAAACTCTCTAATGTGGGGCCATTCCTTCAGTTCCACTTTAATTGGCAGCACTTAACCCTTCTGGAACATCACTAGGACAGGTTAGGCTTCCCTGCTGGAGTCTGGAGGAGCAAGGATTCCAAATAAGAAATCCTGCTGCTTATTTAGTGACTGGGCCCTGCTGCTCAGATTTTCTGCAAGTTCCAATTAGTAATTGAGTCCAAAAGCTTCAGCAGTAGAATTTAAAGAGAATTTAAATAGAATTGGAATGAGGACTGACATGTATTGTCTTAAAAGGGCTCTTCTATTTATAACAATGTTGTGACTGAGCTGCCTTAGTTACAATGTCTCATATTTCAGGTGGGTACTTACAGAATTCGTGTTTTAATTTGTTATACCTGAGCTCACACAGTCTGAAAACCTTCAAGAGAAAAGGTGGAAGAGCAGTTGTGACTATTAAAAAAAAAAAAAAAAGCCAGAGAAGGTGAACTCTCAAAAGCATCAGGTTTTTCCCACAAAGCAAATCAGTGCATTGGGTTTTTTCCTATATTTGATGTCTGGGATGTTCCCATTAGAGAAGTGTAAGAATCACAGACAAACGTGTTCCACAAGTGTGGAATTGCAGCCTGCTGTGTGCTAACTCTGGCTGTAGTTAGTGCTTTCTGTACCTGCTCCATGCCTGGTTTTTCTGCAGGAATTTTGTGTTTGTGGATAGAACAGAGCAGAGGAAGAAAGGCAGGTTTGTGTTCCAGCTGTCTGTGTGAGTGGTGATGCAGTGCTCAAATAAAGCCCAGCACGTTTAACGAGGAGCTGAGGACAGAGACACATGTACTCTGCACAGCAGCCAGAGGGATTGTGTACAAAGACTAATTAGCATGAA